GGAAGCATACATACACCATCAGTGCGAGCAACTGAGTCGGCTCCATTGGAAGAGGTACATGAATATGAGCCGTTATTCCCAGAAGATGAAAACTTGGGTGCCGAGGAAAAGCCCGAAACTGCAGCTGATCGTTTGAAACGTCCGGAGGTCCAAAAACGTAAATTCCCAAGTCAAGACGTGTGGGAGGACACTCCCAATAGCTTGCAATACACTGCAACAGTGTCAACACCTCAACTTCCAGACCCGGATGAAGATAATGAAGATGCTCACAAACGATCAAAGGAGACGCCAGAGCAAGCATTTGCCCGACGACAAGAGGAATTGGCCGAGAGAGAAAATGCAAGCACAGATAGTTTCTTGCACCCTCAAAAGAAAGTGTGGTCTCATAACCCACACCTTGCTGCAGAAACCCGGCCAAAGAATCTTCAGCAGCGCTTCCCAAGTAGAGATGTCTGGGAAGATACTCCAGACAGTCTTCAGTTACAGACGACTGTTTCAACACCCCAGACCCCAGAGGTAGATCCCATTATGAGTCCACTGGACGAAAGACCCACCACTGGTGCTGTCGTGTTTCATCAAGAGAAGGCAGCAGCAGGCTTCGGACTTGCTCAAGATGAAGGTCGCGCTACGACTGGCATCGCAATGACCAAACCAAGCATCCCTGCTCGACCCGTTAGATCAAATTCGCCTGATAAAGCCCAGCCAGTCATTCCTGATCGCCCCGCACAGAAGACGAAGCAAGATGAAGCGGCTCCTCCTCTGCCATTAAAGTCCAAGCCACAAGTTCCAGCTCGTCCAGCAAAACCTTCTACACGTGAATCGTCCGAGAACATTCCATTAACCACAGTCCTTTCGAATTCTTCAGCAAAGTCGATAGGCTCTGATACCGGCGCTCCTACCGCTGTAAAGGCAAAGCCACCTGTTCCTTCAAGACCGATTGGTGGTAAAATTGCTGCCCTACAGGGTGGTTTCCTCGCAGATCTTAATTCACGCTTGAAACTCGGACCACAAGCTCCAAAGAAGGAGGAGCCTAAGCCAGAGGAGAAGGTTGAGGAGAAAGAAAAGGTTCCTCTATCAGATGCGAGAAAGGGTAGAGCCAGAGGTCCTGTCCGCAGAGCACCTGCTAAAAGTCCTGCCCCTGTCTCAGCGGCCTCTCAAGAATTTTCTGCTGTCACTTTGGCAAGCTCAGTACCCTCTACATTGTGGTACATTGATTCCGATGAGGTCTTGCACGTGGAATCTAAGACAGACCCCAAGCCAGAGGAAGCCGCCACATCCGTCACAAAAGCAACTGAATCTTCAACTCCAACTTTCGCAACAAACACTGCTGGAGAGAGTCTCCATGATGCTACGGAAATCGCGGCTGGTGCTGAGAAGAGCGCTTCTCCTCCTTCGGCTGAAAATGATATTCGATCAGAACAAAGAGAGAAGATCAAGAAGGAAGAAGTTATTGCTGATGCTCATGCCGATCATGTTGTACCGGAGAAATTGAGTGATTTGCCTCCTGTCAAGGATGATGTTGTGGAGAGCGTGACAGAACCTGAAGCGCAAACTGAAGCTGAAACTGTGGCCGAGAATTAAGATGGCAGGTGTAGATAGAGAGGGGGTGGCGTAGTATGCTTGGTAGTTGGGGTTATCGGCGAGCTATAAGTCATGATATGCAATGAGAGTACTATTGAGAAATAGAAATCTAGTGCTCTACTGCTTTAACTCGTGTTGCTGTCTGATGATGTTGTCATTGCTTCTTAGTGTGAACCCCTAAATTATTATATGTTGTGAAGAATAAAGCTGTAAGGTTCCTGCGAACATCATAGTCTTGATAATATTTGAATTGTGGCATGGAACTTGGATCAATTGTCAAATGAATAACCCATGATGAATCTTGGGAGATGCATGAAGAGGAGGAAACGTAATATTATTTGTTGTATAACGAGAAAGTAGTCGAGCGGGATGAGGATGAGGAGGAAGGAAATTCTTGTGAACAAAAGGGAGAAGGAGTGGGAAATGGGAAATGGGTTGGAGTGAAAGGTGTGTATGGTGGGATAAGATGCGGGGAATGATGACGATTGGGGGAGCGAGGAATGAAGGGTGAGGGGTAGTGGGTGTGTAGGTAGAGGGTGATTATTTCTGACCTTTCTTATTTTCAAGTCTTGTAGGTAATTTTATGTGTTATTTGTGTTATTTGTGTTGTTGAGTGTGTGTATATAATAATAACTGATTGATGCATGCATGTAGAACTTCAGAGTATTAGGTAAGGGAGTTAAGTACATTGTTATGTGTATACTTGAATCAGGAGGTTGGTATATTGGTATAGATCGGAGGGTTAGGTAGAATTAGAATTAAGCATAACTGAGAGGTTCTAAAAAGAGGGAATGAAGTTTCCTTCAGGTAGTAAGTAGGGAACTATGGTGGGTTATACTTTATATATGCAATAAATACTAATCCTTCTCGGGTAGATCATGGGAGATGATGAAATGAAATGAAATGGATGGATGGAAATCGAGATCGACGGTTGGAAATATTCTTCGTCTCTTACGACTCCTAAGAGACGAGGTAGTCCTAACACCTGAGTTAGGGCTACATGGGCTCATATAAAGTTTGCGAGATGATATGGCAAACTGTAATTAGTGAATTATACTGGGTAAAGGAATATGCCAATACACACTATCCTGTCTATGACTAGAGATGGAACGGGAAATTGATCAGTTAGTTTCCACACCGTCTAATTTGCCACAGACGTTCGATATGCAACAAATATAAATCCTTCTCGAGTAAATCACGGGAGATGATGGAATCAGATGAGTGAGTCGAGATCAACCGTTCTAAAATCTTCTTCGGCTTTTGTTAGGTTGATTTGGGCTTATAAAGTTTACGAAATGATTTGATATATGATGATTAGTGAATTGTGTTAGTTGAGAGAATGCACTGATGTGTGTTATTCTATCTATGACTAGAGATGAATAAAAGAATGTATTGGATATTATGCTGTTTGATTTGCCACAGATGTTAGACGGGCAACAGATGGCTTGTTTGGAACGCTAGTTTGTAAAGGGGATGCTATGTGGGCTGTGGATGGGAAGTAGATAGGAGAATGGAAGTATTGGTTGGTTGAACAATAATGAATGGTGGATATGGGCACCGGATAGGATAGGTAGTTGTGATTTGTTGGTTGAGAGGTTTTCTGGAGGGGTATCAGTAGTTTGGTAGTGTTAGGTGTGCTCGGAATATGACTTGTTAAGATATCTATGAGGTGATTTATTGTCGATTTAGTTTTATGAGATAAGGTGCCGGGAGTGGGAGTGGGAATATCATAAATCGAATTTAGATTTTAACTTAGGACACCAAGAATATGGAGATCGGGGTAGATCTATGCGTTTCTGTCTGGGAAAGAAGGTGCTAGCCTGAGTTGGCATATAATGTATGATTAGATCGGTTCTAGAGCCTAGGGGGTATGGCTGGCATTATGCTAGTTAAGTCTATTATAATAAACTCCATTTTTCTGGGAGTTTATTTTTGGATCAAGCCATGTGTTTATAAGTCATGCAAGAGGGATACATATACACATAGAGCATATCAATTAAGTTCACGAGATTCTGGCGATAATGAGCCGTATGTAGGATGTACTACGGTGGTGTGATAGTCTGAAGGGTAGTCCGTCAATAAGTTGTGAGATAGAAGTTGTGACAAGTGTAGGTAGTTGGATGTTTGTATAGGTTAATAGGTTAACGAGGGTAAATCGTAGCTCTATTAGTAAGTCGATCTTCACCACATGTGTCTATCGAGGAGAACGATTCTCGAGATCTTCCGAATCAATGACTTGGAGAAGAAGGTGTTAGCCTGAATAGGCACATAATGTATGAGCAAATGAGTTCTAGAGCTCTTACGGGTATGGTTGGTATAATGGTAGCCAAGTTCATTAATATGAACCCATTTTTCTCTTGGTAAGGACTGGCGTGGTCTTTGTGGTTCAACTCTATACATTTTATGTACTAATAATTGTAAGTTGTTCAAGTCCCCCACTTAGCTACTCCACTTGGTTAGTCAATACTTCATACTCGATCTGTCATGTAATCTTTCGAAGTTTGTGAAGAAAGATATTGAGAATAAAAAACGTTGTTGAAAAGTTTGTCGTTATCTATATTTAGCCGCTTCTGTCTATTCCCAGTAAAGATGATCGGGGCTCAATGCGAACGTGATCGATGGTGAGGAATTTCCAGAAAAAATCTTTCTTATGATGACTTTCTTAGCGACAATGTCAGAATCTTGAGAGATATCGAAGTGCTTAGAGACAGAAAACTAAAGAGCTAATTTAGTTCAACATTTAAGTCATAAAATCATCACCTAGTGATCTATCGGTTACTATCAGAGAGTTTTAAGTAGGCTAATGTTGATAACGCTGACCTAAGTTTTTGACATCCAAGTTTTAGCGAGGTTTTTGATAGCTCGCTAGTTTAGCCCCTTTTAAGCTTTTCAATGCCAAGAGTACGACTACCGGATTGAACTCCCAAGGCTCGAATGCGACTGTTATGAGGAAGTTGTTGTAATGAAACTTTTTACTTTGGGAGTTCATTTTGTGACATTTAATGTATATTAATCAATGACAGGACGATCATGTCGACGATAGGTAAGAATGAACCCACGAACTAGCGGAGAGAAATTCTTGACAGGTGTGGGGATTCATCGACTGGACAGGATCGATGAATTGGTGTGAGTTAGTCAAACTTAGTTACATTTAGGACGAACTAGTCACCTCCCAAGTCTAGCTTCTGTAGTTATGTAGGCACGTCATTTATTCTACCATTCTATAAAAATAAAGTCTTCGCCCCGCCTCCAGGTACCAGAATATAAAATGCGATTCCTAGAAGTATTCATCACATCGATCTCGCGCTTTACTTAATTCTATAAACTCCTCTTGCAGTTTTCTTTAACCCCTCTCTTCTCAAGAAAACCCTTGGGGTATGTTATAGTTCTTGCTTTGCATACAAGTGAAGAATTCACAGCTGATTTTCATATCCAGATCGATCGGCTACTTCAACATGATTACAGGCGTGTCTCTGCTGCTGCCTCTGGCCGTAGTTTCACTTTTCCCCGCCCTCGCTTCTGGTGCCGACTATGGCGACGAGGTCAATCCCGCTTCACAATTCAAAACGAAGACGATTCCAGATGGAACGATGCCTCCATTGCCGGATTTTGGGGTGCTCGCAGAGAATCGTTTGAGTTCTTGGGATGATGACAATCTTACGCTCACTACTAATGTTTTAATACCTGGAAATTTTCTGGCAAGGAAGCACTTATCAAATGGGTATGTTTTTGCTAGTCATCAGTTTTCTTTAGGATTCTCGATAGTCTGGAAGGCAGTTTAAGAATGAGGGAATTCATATTTCAGATCTAGTCGGAGCACGCAGATGATTGAACAGTCGACATTATCTCGAATGTTGAAGTTGCTTTCTACAACTGCGGCTTTGTCTACTTTGATAGAGCATTCTGAAATTGTTCACTATCTTCAACGTAGTACTAGTATTATATACCAAGGTATGTGCTGATATTCTCTTCATAGATACATTGGCCTTGCTGAGGCTTCACTTGGTCCATTTTTTGAAAAAGACTTCAATCAAACACATCGAGATGGAAAGCAGCCAACGGAACCATGGCCAGAATTCAATCCTCGTCAGAGTTTTGCAGGTATTATCGGATTCTTCGACCGACAACATAACACGACGGAAACAAACTATCCGGAACTTCTCGATAGAGGTGATGAGAGTGTTATCTCTGGTATACCTCACTTCACTGATATACATGTCACCGCTGGTGATCAGGTGCTCAATTCTACTGTGGACTTGGCTACTATCAGCAATTTTAGCAGTTCGCTGAATTTAATGAATGCCACCGCAAGTTGGAGTTACACATGGACTCCAAATTTGAATGGCAATTCAAGCTTTGGGATTGAATATGTGGCGTTTATTAGTGCAGCCAGAGTTAACGTCGCGGCCGTTCAGCTTATTGTCACACCATTGAATAACACAACAGAAAATATCACTTTAACTGATATACTGGATGGTAGAAGTGCTGTTAGATCGTTTTTGGAACAGAAGGGCCATGATGATGATGCGGCTATATATGTTTCGAATCACCCAAATGGTCTTCCAGATGTTTCGGCATGGACATACTCTACGGCAAAGTTATCAAACAGCAGCTTAAGCTCTGTTTCGCTAAGATCTATCGTATCTCCTAACAATAATTCTATGACTATTGGACAAGAATGGGATCTCGAGCTACTATCTGGACATCCAATCACCTTTCAAAAATTTGTTGGTATCGCCTCTACAGACAAATTTCCCAATGCACAAATGACAGCAGCTCAAGCATCTGATAATGCAACAAGAGATGGATGGGATGTGCTTCATACTGAGCACACTGCAATCTGGAACCAACGTATGCAAAGCAGAATCGTCGATTACAGGAACCCTACCACCGGTCGTCTACCAGAGAACGATACTACGGCTGAGGTTGATCAAATCAATGCTGCTGTTAGTCGATACATGATCCTTCAAACACTTCTTCAAGAAGATGATAATGATCTAAATGACAACGGCATTGGTGTTGGCGGAATTACTGCTGATCCATACGCTGGTATGACTTTCTGGGATATGGATATCTGGATGTTCCCTGGTATAGCTCTGACTGATCCTGATTATGCTCTTCAAATGATCAAATATCGTGTCAAGATGTATGCTCAAGCCAAAGTCAACGCTCAAGAAGATTACGTACAGGAAAAGTACAAGTTCGATAAAGATTCAATCTTGTACTCGTGGACTTCGGGTAGATATGGAAATGCAACTGGAACAGGTCCCACATTAGATTATGAGTATCACATCAATACCGACGTGGCAAAGATGATGTTGGACTACAGAAGAATCACTCGCCATGAGGAATACTTCAGAAAGGAATTGTGGCCAGTGGTCGAGAGTGTAGGACATACTATTGAATGAGTACTCCAGAAGGATGACCAGGGGAAATGGAATATCTGGAATATGACTGATCCTGACGAATGGACTAATCACGTCAAAAATGGCGCTTTCACTCAAGCATCTTTCTTTCAAATCATGAACTCTATCATTTCCATTAAAAGGGAATATAATGAAACGATTCCATCTACTTGGCTCGACATAGCCGAGAACATAACTATCCCCGTTTCTTCCTCTGGCATCACTCTCGAATACGAAGATATGCCCTCCAACATAACCGTCAAGCAAGCCGATGTAACGTTGATGCTCCATCCTCTTTCCCTTCCAGAGTCGTCCAAGCCTATCAATTATACGCTCGAAAGGAAACAAGCCGACCTTCAATATTACACACAAAAGCAATCTCTCCATGGTCCAGCCATGACATTTGCCATCAACACCATCGCTACACTAAGATACGGACATTCTGGCTGCTCGGCCTCTACCTACAATAAGATAGGTGTATTCTCCAATCTTCGCGCACCATGGTTCCTAATGAGTGAACAAGCCAACGATGACACTAACGCAAATGGAGGATACCCACCCGCATTTCCATTTTTGACCGGTCATGGTGGTACGATGCAAATTGCTTTCTATGGATATCTAGGTCTAGATTCTTCACAGGACGTTCTCACTATTCAACCAACTCTTCCTCCACCTAAACAATATCTCACGCTTAATGAGTTCACTTGGGCAGGATATAAATTCAGTGCTAGCATGAATAACACTCATACTAACATCACCTTTACTGGAGTCTCACCTTCTTCCTCCAATCCCCAGAACACAACCTCGGTTCCTATGGTTCAAAACCTCCCTGCATCTCGCCATCCACAACTCAAGTTCATGCTATCTTTCAATCAAACCCTCACATTAGAAAATGATATGTATTGGCAGGATTTCACCACGCCAAATAACCTAATTCAATGTCTTCCAATCATCGGATCTGACGATACCGAGTTAAATCGCTGGCCAGAGAGTGTCAATGACGGGGATGTAGGAACGAGCTGGCAACCCGAGAATACAAATGGGTCCTCTATCTCTATTGATACAACTTCTGTGGCAGGCGAAAGAATCAAAACGATTAATGTGGTATGGGGACTACGAATTCCTACCAGCGCCTATGTCATGGTTTTTAACTCCACCAATGCTTCAGAAGGAGAAGAGTTTCTCCTTCCTCTTCCTAATCTCGATACTCCAGATGTGGCAGATGTTATCATCACTAGAGATGTTGATGAGCTAGCAGATGCTATGTCTTCAGATGATTTTCCAGAAGGAAATGGTGAAGTGTATTCTGGGGACGATGTAAGACTTGAGGAAGGTTACAAAACGACGTATACACTACCTGATGATAAAGTAGTGTATATGGGAGATACAGCTGTGCTTCAGATTGCTGGGTGTATAGGTAGAAGCTGTGGAGTTTTTGGAGATGAGGCAGGGGCTACAGTGGAAGAGTGGGAGATAATTGGTGAAGCTTAGAGAGAGGGTGGGGGTTTGAAATTAATCTGGAGGGGAGTTGGGTGTTCGTTACAAATTAGGGTACGCTTCTAGGGCAGTGGGATCTTTAATGTATAGTGCTTAATATTTGATAGTGATTATATTCTTAAATGATTATGTTTAATAACCGATGGCTGGTCTAATCTTATCTCTCGATTCTGCTGTCTGCAAGTACTCGGTTATGTATATTGTCCTGCTCAAATTCTAGTGACAATTGAAATTACTTTTGGTCGTTGCATACAAGTAAATTCAGCCCCGTCAGTACAACTCTCACCATATTCGGAAGCAGTTCTTTACTTCTATGGGAATTGTTATTGTATCTTTCATTCACAGTTAGTCAAACGGGCTACCACCGATAGCTTGGCGCTCTTCAAATTGATCTCTAACATAGGGCAAAGAGCTCAAATTCGGCATCGAAGATCTGAAAATCCAAAGTTGCATAATGCATAATTGATACATTTTCTGCGTATCATTGTGATAATCCACAAAAGCAAACTTAATTCCATTCCAAAATTCTATCCCAAGTCATCTCCTTCTCTCCCAACCCATCCATCAAATCCCAACCAAATATGCAAACACGATATACACGCTCATTGGATATCTAACATTTTGTATTTGATCATTAGACACACTGCTTTTTCGCAATCCAATTCTGAACCTTGACAAGCCCCTTTCCTCCATGCGGGCAGCCGACGGCACATAATTATTAGTGGGGCTTATTGGTTCGATACTAAGTTACACAACACAATCTAAAGACGGACTAAATAGCAAACATCACATCATGAAGGGTTTTCCTCGATGACGGATTGGTATACGATCTCTACTGTAGAATCTAATTGCAGCACAATTTTAGCCATGAGTCTCTACACCGGTTTTGACCTGGTTCCACGCCTCTCCGAAAGGACAGAAGACCAGAAGAGCTGGGAGTGTTTCATCCAAGCCGTAAAAGAACGCTACAAAAACGATAATTTGGTAGAAATTACGCAGAACTGCATAGTTGTCAAAGTAGACCGAGATCTTATTCTTCCATTTGAAGGCCACAAGCTTCTGCGATTTTGTTCGAAGATTTCTGTTCGTCATGCGGAGGGGGTCGAGGATTATTCAGATACGATTACTCGGATTGCAGAGGAAAGTTTGGGCTCACGAGTTCGTACTTGGGAGGAGGAACTCGGACAGGAAGGATTTTATAGATGGGTTGATGTTTATGATTCGCGAAAGTCTTTTGAGCAGGTATACTAGTCTTGGTTTGCTTATCGTCAGGGGTATTTTCTAATACTATTTAGCCGGGTGAATGGAATGCTTCAGTTGAAAATGATTGTAATGCGCTCAAGAATCATTCAAAGTCTGGGAATGATGTAAAGATGTTCAGTATCGAACAGGTGCCAGGAAAAGGAAGAGGCCTGATAGCTCGCTTCAACATCGACAAAGGAAAACGAATACTTTCGGAAAAACCTCTTTTGAATATCACAACTACCTCAGCTTCAGCAGCCTATCTCGAGAGTAACATTTCCCAAAAAGTTAAGAGGCTTCCAAAATCAGTGCAACAACAATTCTTTTCACTTCAGAACAATATTTGCAAGGAACAACCCTTTTCCGGTATTCTGGTAACCAATGCTATAGGTCGCGGCACTGGTTCCACAATTGTCGATATATATCCTACAATCTGCCTCATAAATCACGACTGTCTCCCCAATACGCATACCTACTGGAACTCGGAAACTGAGAGCAGAAATATCCACGCAGTGTGCGCTATAAAAGCCGGAGAAGAGATAACCATAGCGTACCGTCCCGGTAAAGGAGAAACCTTCGATGCGCGACGTGCACATCTCAAGAGAGCGTATGCATTTGATTGTACATGTCTTCTTTGCAGTCTCTTGCCAGTCGAGACTCAAGAGAGCGATACTCAACGTACCAACCTTGAGTTTCTTAGACTTGAAGTGCATAAGGAGAAGCGAATTTTTGAGCACCCTAAAGAAAGTCTAGCAGACTGTCACACCTCTGTTCAGATACTCAAAAAAGAAAATAAGGATAAGGCGAATACGTTGATCTCGGAAATTTACTGGGATGCTTTTGATATTAGCATTGCGCAAAGTGATCAAGCTCGAGCGAGCTGTTTTATGGAGAGGGCTTATAGTGAGAAACTTCTGTGTGAAGGAGAGGATAGCCCAGGTATTCAGAACATGAGAAGATTGATAAAGAAACCGTCACAATATGAAAGTTTCGCGCTGACAAATAAGTGGCAGACTGGAAAGAAGGAAGTACCGAAAGGATTGAGTACCGAAGAATTTGAGAAGTGGTTGTGGAGAGATGGAATGTAGATTTGTTATATTAGTGGCCCCTTGGTGTGTACTTTTTGAGATCATTTCAGTCAGTTATTTTCAGAACATGTAGGAGGGGTACATTGAGCTTTGACTAGTTGATTTGCCTTGGTTCTAATCCACAACAGTATAATTTAATGACAGATTTCAATCACTTGATGATAGCGTTCATGAGTTACTCTCAAATCACAAAAAAATAGGTGCACTACGTAGCATGAGAGTAGTTTACCAAAACATAACTACATGAACTGGTGAACCGAAGCTCCTAGAGCTCGGCTCAAAATGACAACCAACCCTACCTCTGACCACACTATTCTAGTATCCGGCCTCGAAGGGGAAGAACGATCGTGTCTAGATCAACACAAACCCTTCGTCGGAGGTTGAAAGGATCATGAAACGTATCGGGAATGAGTATACGCCAACAACAGTATAGTGAAAATCGTTCCATTAAGATTGACACGGTGGAGAACATCGATGCAAAACTGAGCCGCAAATCAAAACCACCGCCCAATAGGGAGAAAAACTAAAGTGAAACTTTTGAGATGACTTGTGATTGTACTTCTTGGTATCTATATACAGTTGCAAAACGTGTTCATTGATTCATCATTCATTCAGTCCTCCCAACCCGAGTCCCAAGTCCATGTCCATGTCCAGTTCCATTGTCAATGCCAAAAACGATACTGATGATACTCCTTCATTCCTTCCCTCCCCGGATATAATATGCTAGTACTCGAATGAAATATGCCCAAAACGCGCCAGAGTAGTATTCCCGGATCAATCACGAAAAAACGACAATTAAATGCCCGACGTTCTTATACATACAGCCGTGAAAAATTACAAAAACTCCTAATCCAATTCAATATCCAGTTCTGGACCTCCCAAACTTTCTCTTCCCGCCTCTCTAATCCCCTTTGCAGTTACGAAACGAGTCTTCTTCTTAATTCCGCCAATTGTATTGACTCGCTTACGCTTGTTAATCGGGCTCAATCGAACAGAAGGTTTGGTACCAATGAGGCCTAGCTTCCTAGCATCCGGTGGAGACATTTCTCTTTCGCTGTTTCTAATATCCTGTGGGTTGAGTTGTACCGGATTACGTCTCTTCATGTAATCAGCACCGAGTCCTCCACCCATCATTCCTAACTTCCTACCGAGCTCCCTTTCTTTCTCTTGAGCCAGAAGTTGTTTCGTCATCCGGTCTTCCTTTGTGCTTCCTCTGTGAAAAGCATCAGGGTCAAAATCAACGTCATCTAATAAGCTTACGGCGCTTCTTTTGCCAATGTAAATTTGGCTATGACTCTCTCTGTCATATTTCGTCTTTTCGCCCTTCTTGAGTTCTTCTCGGCGTTGCTTATAGCCCGCCATATCTCGAGAGTTGTATTTTGATTCCGTTCCACCTCCGCCAAAATTACGTTTTGGGCCGAAGTTCATAGTATTGACTTCCATGCGGTTTGCGTGGGTCTTGGTAAGAGAAAGATTGACGTGATAGTCGCAGAATTCGGTATGTCGTGTGTTGACCCAGGTATCACAAGTTTTACCGTCTCTTTTGACGCTCTTACAATATCCAAGGTCTCTATTTGTGCCAATTTCAAGTATTGTATCGTCACTTGAGCTAAGCGTAAGGCTGAATTTTCCTGTGTCAGTTTTTCCTCGAGCTGGAGGCATAAATCCGGGGTTGAGGAGGGCAATAACAGTTCCAGGTGTAAGCTTCCAGAACTTTTCAAAGGCAGTTCTGAAGAGAAAAAGTTCGATTTCCCATTTAAGATCGGTAAGGGTAAGGACCATAAATTTGCCGCCATTCTTAGCCTGGTCCTGGTGCGCGCGTGGTGCAGATTTTGCTGCGATAGTTGCGAACACAACAACATCTTCTTCGATCTCAGGACCGGCAAAATCGGGGGCTTTTACAGTCCTGAGTAAATCGGGTATAAGAAAAGTTTTCTTTCCCTGAAGGGTTCGAGTGAGTACTTGATGGGGAATGATTCGCTTGGAGAGATGGGAGGTAGAATATGGTTCGAATTGCGAAGTTTCACCATCAGAAGTGTCTGATGACGCTTTGTTAAGATTGCTATTCGAACGCGTTCGATTCAAATTATCGAAAGCACTTCGCGCATTTGTATTTTTGTCTTGTGAGTCTGGCCTGTTCAAGAACTTTGCTTCAGTGCCGTTCCTCAAGGCTGAACGATACGTATCAAATGAACTTTGAGAGCTCTGCGAGCCATTGCCGTTTCTGATAGCTAAACGTTTCGAGGCATCAAAGGAGTTTTGAGAATCCTGTGAGCCTCTTCTCAGGCCAGCGTATATTTCATGACTATTTCTGATTTCGGGACGTCTCGAGCTTTCAAAGGAGCCTTGTGGAGCTTGAGTTAGTAGCCTGGCGGTTGTTTCGTTGATGTTTATCGGCATTGAACGTAAATTTGAAGTGGTTTTATGCCGTCTTAATTCCCCGTTCGGATTGTTGAGAGAATTCAAGACCTCCTCTCGGCTGAACTCTTTGGCGGGAGCAGGATGACTAGGTAATTCGATTGCATTAGATTTGAATGACTCCATCTGCTTCTGATCTATATCGAATGCTGTGCTGCGAGTTTTCTTGATCCGAGCTGCCCTTTCCTGTCGCTCAGTATCCGTAATCCTGGCTGCAGCCATTCTTTCGCTAAAAGATTTCGGTCTCTCCGCCTGATTAAAACTTTGCGATGCAGGTATGCGATTTCCAGTTTGTGACTGACTTCGTTGTAGGAATGGCCCGGTTCGCTTCGCATTGTTAAAATCCGGCTCTAAATTCTTCCTTAAGCCCGGTGCTCTCTTGAGCGAAATGTCTATTCCTTTCAACCCTTTATCAATGCCAAGTAGAACCCTTCCAGGAGATTGTGGAAGTTCAGCAGGCTGAACACGGCGCGGTGGTGATGCAGGAACATTGATCTCGGTACGCGATTTTGGGCGTTGCGATGGTCTCTCTCTTGAACCTGCTGCTCCTAATCCTGCCAATCTCGACGGCGCTCTATTTGTCGCTGCAGAGTTTGCTCTCAAAAGACCCGATGTGGGCCTGTGACTCTCAAGTTGCTCGTTCCTCTCGATCTTCTCGCCCTCCGAATCCGAACTCTGTTTGTTCTTCTTTTGCAACTGCTTTAATCGAAGTCGCGCTTGGATTTCCTGTAGTTTCAACTGTAAAGTTTCTTCGTCGTCTTCGTCGTCGCCCCCAACCTCTTCCATACACATATCGGCCTTCATCCGATCTTTGCCTGTAGCCTGTGGTGTTTGTGACGCAATGGGTCGTCGTTTCGAAGGGGAAGCAGTAGGAGAAAATCCTGTTGCGTATCGTCGTAATCGATCACGACCGCCGGGGGTACTTAATAGTGCTTCTCGGGGAGATCTTGGTGGCCATTGAGCCTCTTCAGCACCGCCTTTTATATTCTCAGTCATAAATTTTATACGGGAATGACAGCGCACATACCTTGGGACATAATGAGCACAATGATAATGTGCAAGTAATAGAATATGCAGCTAAGGAAGCGGTTTAAATTAATTCGATATCGTGATATCAATTCTCGCGAAGGATTGTTGTTTGTCATATATACTGCAGATTCGTGATAATTGTTGACTTGTCTTGCGCTTTGCTAAACGTTCATCTAGAAAAATCCGCACCGTAGAAGGTTGAAGAAGTCGGATCGCATACACTGTACAATAATCAACGAAATAGAAATTTGATGTTGCTTGTGCTTGAAGAACGCAGTTGATCTGCAGAGGGATCGAAGATAACAAGATTGTGGGATATCAAATGGTAAAGGCAGGAATACCATTTGAATTTATGATGTGATTGTCATTCGTTTCCGAGGAAGCTTGTCCATTGACAGATAAGATTTTCAGCTCATTCAGATGAGATTTGAAGTAGTGTGAGCTTTAACTTTGGGTTATCGTTCGCTCTATCGCTCTATTTCCAAATCCAGATGTTTGAATTGAAGCAAAAGCGCAAAACCCCGGATTTCAAATTATAGTGCAAGCCAATAGGCGCTCCCAGCCTTGAACTTCAATTTAAAGCAAGTGGCTTTATTGGTTGCTGTGCATGACTAAGCCGACGCGTTTCCATGTAACGCGACAAGACGCGACTTCTTAAAGTGGTTGAGTCTCATGGATTCTAGGATGGCTAGGTATATATTCACCCAAAACTCAAATACACAACACGGTGGTTTATTTGCGACTCACTGGGCAATTCTGCAATAATTATACATACAATTGTTTAGGATATGGTGGTTAAAACTAGAGGGAGACCAGCCACCAAAGCTGCTGCAGTGGAAACAGAACCTTCGAAAGTCGCCGAACCAAAAGTCAAATTACAGCCAGACGATGTCAACCCCCCGAGGGTTTTTATATTACCAAAGGATATCAGTACAGAGGCTCGGATTATCACAATCGAAAATCCTAGATATGCCAAGGATAGTCGATATCTTGTATGCCCCAATAAAGGTTTCTATGAATTTACTCGAATAGCTGCACCAAAAACCACACCTAAAAGCTGGTTACTTGTACCGGAAGATGAGTCGACGGCACCATTAGAGGACGAACTACCCAAAGATGAAACGAATGATGAGGAGGACTCTTCGTACAAAGCCGAAGGTTATGTCACAAAAGGGGCAGATCTATTCATTGCGACGCCAATTGACTCTCTATTCATTATTCTTCCAGCTCTTGCACCTCTTCCCACGACCAGAGTTTCGGATCCACCCAAAAAGTTATTCCTGTCTGGCGATGATTATTTCGACAAATTGATATCTATATCACCACATTTGGGGTCTTTCCTAAGAGCTGGCCCATTACGATCGACGCTAGAAAAAAGAATGACGGCAGTATGCGATACAGTGGACGCTGGGGACGAAACAATGTTCAGAATAAACGAGGAAAAGCTATCCAAGGAACTCTTACAGAAGGCCAAGAAAATGGTTGAGCACGGTTTGCCTGCCAGCATGGAGGAGAAACTCGTTAGAAAAGCGCTGGACGTACCAGTGCTGAGT